TCTCNCNCTCTCTCTCTCTCTCTCGACCTCGATCCGAGGGAACGATGAATTTCTAATTAACACGTTTGTCGTAAGATAGAGCTAGCTGTGACGCGGCGTTTCCTCGCTTCTTCTGCCGTTCTCTCTCTTTTTTTCTTTTTATCGAGGGAGAGACGACGGTTGATTGAGTTCTCTCCTTTCGGGGATATCGAAGATATTGGCCGTTTCTTCTGCGGCGAGAGAGAGAATCGTTTTTATCGATGGATTTTTATACAATCGAGGCGAGAACGAGGCGAGAGGGAGATTTTTTTTAAAGCTTCCTTTCATCGTTTTTGAAATTTTTCACGGGAAATTGAATCTGCCGTAAAGAGGCAGCACCGGCGCGAGTTTCGAGGACATCTTTGTAAGAAAAAAGAAATGTTTAAATTCTAGTTTGTAAATAAAAATCCGTGAAATCCGTTCGTTCGAAGCTTTGCCAGTTTCGTTGGAAGCTTTGTGATTGGAGGAGCATCTCTAATGTCTACTTTGTGTTCCATATCACGCCACGGTCATCTCCTCGACGCCATTACGATGCCATCATCTGCCATCTGGGGGCCGGAAATCGAAATTCAGGGTGTAAGTAGCATTCAAAATTTCGAGATATTCCGCTCTCGTTCGTTCAGGCGCGCGAACATACAGGGTGGAGAAATTATTTAGAACGATTATTTTTTTTTAATCTCTTTTGGATAAAAGTTGATTCAATTCAATTTTCGTGGAAATGACGTTTAATTCCTATGATTGATCCGCTCGAAATTCTCTTGATTGAAACGATACGAAAAGAAAATTGGTCTTTCTTGCATGGGCAGATAAGTATGACAAAAAAAAAGAAAAAGAAAAAAATGGAATAATTGGAAAGGAAATGAGAAAATTAGCGTTGCAATTTCTATGAAAATATTAAACGTGCGAAGAAGACTCGCCTTATATGGACAGATTAATATCGTTAATCGCGAGTGATTGCGTGCTCCACCCTGTATTCACCGCCTATCGAGCGGGAGAACGTATGAGCAAACAAAACCTCGGCAAAAAAAGGAGCGTTTACATAGAGCATGGAATCAATGATTTTCGAAACAGTCAAATATGTTGCTCGTGGTTACGATCGCGTGAACACAAACAGTTATTCTAACGTAACTAGCTAGATTTCTGAGTAGAGTCATCTTGGTGATTCTGTTAATCTTAAAATTTTTAATCTAATAAGACTGTTAGATAAAATGGAAACGCGAGTACCGCTCTATTTTCTGTATTCACTAGATGTTACTAGATTTTAAGAACGCTTCCAATTATCTAAGTTTTTAATCTAACAAGCCTGTTAGATAAAATGGAAATGTGAACACTTTATTTTCTACATTAGTTGCTATTTTAAGGAGTGGTTCTAATAATCCAAATTGTTAATTTAATAAGTTTGTTAGTTAAAATGGAAACGCGAGTAACACTCTATCTTCTCTATTCACTAGAATGTTACTAGCTCGGGTTCGTGGGTACGCTACCACCCAAAGGACTCACGAAAGCAGGTCTGAGAGCGGCACGAATCCAGCTCCCAGAACCTTTTCGTCGTCCCCCCTGCGAGAATTTTTCCTATTTATGATCGAATGATAATTACAAATTTTTCACGATATTTCCCTCTTTTTTGGCGCACGTGGTCAGACATGATAATTTTCAAATTTTACCAAAGACCACATTGCCCAAGATACAGTAATAATAACAACACCCAATTTCAGATCGGGCATTAATTGTGAAAAAGTCGCTTAAACTGATGTAATCTCTAGATTATCAAAGTTCACATTGTTCTATTAACTTCAAACTTATCAAATTTCGAAGACGAAAAATCCAATAGTTTTCATCCTCGTCACCCTACCCTATGCCTCGATAAATCAGCCGATTCCAAGCTCTGAAAATCGCGATCAATCGCGACAATAACATCATACGCGGCGCAAAACACGTTGGATCGTTATCGTGCGTTTGTTTCCCGCTGCGAGGCCGGGCCCCTTGCACAGCTGTTCTTGTCAGTGTCCCGATGCGTCACGATAAATCCAGCGGGCCTTCTTTTTCGTGAAAGGGATCCGCGAGAGGAGGCGGCCCTCGATCTCGATCGGGCACGCGTGTGATCGGGGAACGACGATGGTTAGGTCTCAATTAAATCGGCGGATCGAGGGACGAATATCGTCCGTTATGATTCGTATTTGGACGTTTCGCGTTTGGGATTTCGAGAAACGTCCATTTTCACGCGTCCATTTCTGAATCAAGCTTTTGGAAATTACTGTTAGTTTCATTTCAGTCGAGAAATTTTGACGAGAGTCTTTTGGGTTAGGTTTGTATTGAGCGTCTTTATTGACTTATTGCGATTTTTTGTCTTTGGTTAAAAATAAATCGTTTATTCGATTAGGTTTTTTTTGTATGTGTATTGGAGATTATCTATTTGTGTAATAAATTATGTTTTTTGGAAATTATTGTTGGTTCCATTTTGAGTTAGGTTTGTATTAAGCGGCAGATCTTTAACGAGGCATCCAGTTGAAATATTATTGTGATTTGTGATTTGTCTTTCGAGAAACGTCCATTCGATCGATTTAGGTTTTTCAACATATGCATTCTGTCAAGATTTTGATAAGAGTCTCTCAAGAGTTAGGTTAGGTTATTAAACGGCAGATCTTTAACAAGACATCGAGAGAATATTATAATTTGGAGATTATTATTTCGATCGTTTATCCCCCAAATAATTCGATTTGATCAAATTCTCATCTTTATTCTTTTATAATACTAATATTTAGAACCTCTTTTTGTTAGATTAACGAAGCCATTCGCCATTTTTATCCCAATAGAGTGAATTTATACGGAGATTATATCTGTACAAATTATCGAGATAAAATGAAAAAAAAAAAAAAAAGGAAAGAAAAGAAAAGAAAAAGGAAGAGAGAGAAGAAAAAATAGTCCGCGATAAGCGGTTTCACGCATATCCATTAGAGCTGAAATTCTGGCGGGGCCCCGAAGGCCACGAATACGAAATGACGGGACGGATATCTGACGTCTCTATAGCAGTAAAACGGCGGGCATGCGTGGCCCGGCGGGGGTCCGGAGACGTCGTCGGAGACATCGGGCACCGCGGGCGGCCATTGTCTCAAGGGAGTCCCAAGGGCGAGAGGGCGAGGCAGGGAAGGGCCCAACCCCGGCTGACACGCACGAGGGGGTCGCCAGCGCCCCGTCGGGCCCCCAAACCAAATTAATAACAACCGAATTTCGAGCTATTCCTATTTTCGAGCTTGGAAGCCAACCAAAAATACCAAATTCGAGATAATTATATTTCGAAGTAGATGGCTAGATTTCGAATCGAACCTTTTCTGGTGTGCTCGTTAAAATTGTAAATAAAAACGAGATACAGAAAATGTTAAAGGAACATTGAAAGAAACGTTAAAATATTAATCTCAATTTCGATATTAAATTCAAATCGAATACGATCCGTGAACGATCGCGTTGCTCGAAATAATATTTATTAACCCAGACCCTCCCTCCCCTTCCCCTCCCCTCCTTTGACCGGTCCACGCAGAGAAACCGATGTCACACCCACGCAACTCCTCGTCCCGAAAACGAATGTTATATCCTCGGCTGACTTACGGCGCCGATAAACGATATTTACGGCGTAAATCGTTAATTAAAATATATCGCCGCGAAAACCGCGGAGAACGCGTGTCCAAAGGAGATGTTAATGAGCCTGGCCCCAACCTTCTCCCCCTGCCCCCTCGTCCTTTCCTTTTATTCGTACGAGAGACGTACGAGGGATCCGAAAGGGATGATAACGCGAAGGCGCGAAGATCGTGGACGCGGTTGATCGATCCCTCGTCAATTTCATCGATCTTTTTCGTCCAGTTGTTGAATCGTGGCCGAGTTTTTTTTTTTTTTATACTTTTCAAAAGTTTCCATACAATATGGAATGACGCATCTTTAAAAGATCGATTCTAGATCGATTATTATTATTTATGAGAATAAGAAAGAAATCTAACCTATCCTTGCAACCAATCGATCGAAGAGAAATACTTTTAATCGTATAATCGTATTTTCGAAAGAGGTTGAAAAGAAACTTACTTAGGGTTGAACGTACTCTTCGCGTGAAAGAAAGTGGACTTCGTAATTAAAATCGTAGAAACGAAAATTACTTAGCGTTTCCATTTTTTCCTCTTCCCTCCCCCTCCTCCCCACCCTCCTCCTTTTTTTTTCTTCCCTAGCTTCCGAACGAAACACCGTTAGCAATAAATCACACACTTTTTTTTTGTTCCACGGAACCGTAAAGCACGGTGTACCGAGTGCACGTGGCTAATTAGAACCATAATCCTAAAGCATAAATCGGTGTTGACACTCGGTGAATTTATTTAGAGCTGGATACATCTTGGCCCGTGGTTATAATCGCGTGTTCGAAGGATCCGCTCGACTTGGCTCTTCCGTTTCGTGCGCGCGATGCGTGCGAAGATATAACGCCGGAATAAACTTATATATATATATACACACATTGTAGCCTATTGGATACCCGATTACGTCGCCTCGTGAATTTTTGATCAATGTCGGCTTATCAAACGGCTTATTCCTCCCTAATTAAGTCTTCTCGTTATTAAATTAACGATTCCTCCGAGAATGGAACGGAATGGAAGATCGTGAGATTCCACCGGGGGGGAACGAGTTTAGAGATTAATTGGAAACTTGGGGGAGGGGGGAGAGAGAAAAAAAAAATTGAACGAATGAAAATTAAGACGTTCGTTATCCACGACAGTGGAAACCGTGAAATCATTAACGATTCTAAACGATTTTTTATATTTTAACAACTTTATTAAGCTATCGTGTATAATGGTATTTATTATTCCAAGGGAATACAAAATCGAATTTTATTAAAGTTGATAAAGTCACGTGGCGCTAGTGTCGCGTTACTATTCGCGTCGCCGTAGAGAAGCGAATACGAATTAATTAATTAATTAATTAATTAATTGCACGAGGATTGATCGAAGGGAGAAACGTGTTTTTTCGAAGGATTAATCGAAAAATTCGTGGTAACGCGATACGCGATGGCGGAAAAATTGCGGCCCTCGGCTAGGCACGCCCGCTGTTTTACGAGCTGCGGGTTCACCACGCCGGCCAATTACACCTTCCACGGTTAGGCGGTTCCTTCGTCTTAACGGGCAGTTAGTGCCAACATAAATGTCCCTGCTGCACGCTTTTAATTGCCAGCTTATAGCGCCGCTCGCGATACAGGCGGCGCGCGTTGGAAAAAAGGCAAGGCCGCGATCCGAGGCGTATATACGCGAGACCGGTGATTCTTGTTTTACAAATTGCTCGGAACACGACCGCGTCACGTGAAAAACTCGGCCTGTTTAACGAATAATCGCGTTATTTTTAATTTTGAACCGGTTCTCCCGATATTCGCATTGTGTTATTAGTAATCGTTATTTCGTACTATGGCTTGTTATTATTATTTTTTTCTCTTTTTTGTTATCACAATTGTCGATCGAAGATATTTAATTTCGAATATAGAATAATCATACGGAGAGCATTATCCATCGAAACGATTTTGATCGTCGATCGATCGAAAGATTTCTTTAAATACGCTTTACTTTCCATGCTTGTTACCTAATAACCTAACCTAACCTTTCGCGTGCCAAATTCACTATTTTTACTATTCTCTCGCACCGCTAGAGGGCACCACCTTCCCAATTCTCCTCGATCTTGTCTATCTCCAAAAACGTCTCCCTTCATCAATGGTAGAACGAATAGTTATTCGTTCATTCGAATGTTCACCCACTGAATGATCACTTTTACGAGTCTCGTATCCAACGCTGGAGATCCGGAAACGCGCGTCTCCCTCGACAATCCTCCAACATATCCTTCGCTAAACGAAGCAAACGAGTTCCGGTTAAGGAGCCAAACAGGCCGGCGGCCTTCTTTATCAACCGGGGAGATCCATAGTCGGATATCGTAATCGCGACGTCCCTAATTATGACGGGCCGGTTTCCGCGATGGACGATGGTTCGAGAAAAAGTCATGGGATCGTAGCATGGGCAAAAGTGGCTTACGGTCTCTATTTTATAACGCGATCGTTACGGTACCCCGGCCGCGAGCAAACCATTTCTCCCTCGCAGCTTCGATTAAAATGCCAGACGTCGCCGGGAGCGGGTGTGTAAGAGAGAGAGAGAACGAGATTCCCCTTGATACGCGATATTGTTACGCGTGTACACGTTGTAACTGTCCGGATCCGTGACGAAGTCACGCGATATGCATTATGCACGCACGTAAACGCGGCTGCGCCACCGTCAGACGTTTCCGCAATCACTCCCACGATGCACTGGCCGAGTGACGAGTACCGGTTTGTGAGAAAGGGAGACGTCGATGATTGTTTCGAGTCCTTCTTCCTTTCCTCTTTCGATATATACACGTATACGTGTTTCTTTTCTCTTATTTTTTTGAACACGGGATTCCGTCGATTCAAAATTCCGTAATTTTAATGCGTCGTGCGATTTAGGTTAGGTTAACCTGTACTGTTAACCTGACCAGTGTTGTTTTGTAAAAAAAATCTATTTCGATCTTTTTTTTTTCCCCTTTTCTTCTTGCGTCTTTTAATTCTTTACACTGAAAAGAAAAAAAAAAAAATTCGTAAAAGATAATGACAAAGTAAAAAGTAAGTAATGATACATATATCTGAATTAACTTTCACAGTCTCGTGAATTTCAGAAAAATAATTATCATTTCCACGAGTAATTGTAAATTCGATCGTAAACGCAAGAAAAAAGATATTTATGTAATGTATAAAGTTAAATTTCTCGCGTGTTCACGTAACGACGATGCAAATGCGTTAATGCAAAGGGTTAACGAAATAATTATAAACATCATTCGCGATAATTACCATCATCTCACCCTATTATTCTCTCGAAAAATTCCCCCGATTCCCCTTGATATTTACTTTCTGTATCGATATGATCGTAACCCGTTATTAAAAACAAAGATAATAAATAAAAAAGAAAAAATATGCACATGTTTCTCGATCAGATTTCCAGAACAAACTTCCATACCCTTCATTCTCTTTCCTCACGCATACACCGCGCCGCGACATTTCTCGAACTAATTAACCGGACAGATGTCATTTATCCACTTCCCTTGTGAACGATTTATCATTAGATAAGATGGTCAAGGCATGTGCACGTGCACCGCAAGTATACAAAAACAATCGATGGTGTACAATGAAATTGTAATTAATAGTGCGCCTCTTGTTGTATAAACAACGTGTTTACATAACGTGCGATATTTGACGTGATAATTACTTATTTATTTATTTATTTTACTTAATTAGAAATACACTCGATCTTTAACGGGTCGAAACAAGATGATAATAATAAAGAGAAAATCATATTTGAGGTTAGGTTATTTCTCTAGGTTATGAGAATGAATATACACACTCGGGCTAATAAAAGGTATGGTAATATACGTTACACAATATATAGATCACGGCGCGAATGAGATTAATGGTTGAAAACGAGAGACGAGTATCAAAACAATGCAACGAAGAAGAGAAGATCGCATTTCATTTAATTTAAACGAATAACCTGGTTACCAAAGGTTACTCGTACAAATCTAACCAACTCTCTTTAACGATATTTTCTCGGTTCAGCCAGGTGTTGTGCTCCACAAAAGCGTGGAAAACGTCGCGGTGTCACGCTTCTCGAAACGGTGGCGAAGACCTCCAAAGCCGATATACTACACCGTGGTTCATTACAGCAGCTGCATTACTCGGTACATACGCGACGCGTCATTACTTTTATTAGCATAATGACAGGCGAACAACTCAATTTGCATGGAAAATCACATAGGTCCGTAACGAAGTTCGCCCGCGGATCCGTGATCGTCCTTCCACTCCGTCCTACGTGTAATAAAGCCTCTCCACAAGTCCTCTCCGTACACCGGCCCGATACACGTATCGACCAAGAGGTGGTGGGGTGTGTGTGTACCTTGAGAAACATTTGTTAAAGTAGCGAGAGGGTGCGAAAGAGAGAGAGAGAGAGAGAGAGAGACGTCGGTAAGGCAGACTCACTTCGTTGTTCGCGGGGCCCGGCTGCTATCTCCCTTCTCTCGGATGGATAATTCCGTATCATCATCGAAATTGCAGTCGATCGTCATCCGGCTGCTCGTCGTCGATCAGCGTCCTTCGCCTCGGAAAGTTGATTGAGAGTCGGCGGGGATCGTTTGCCACCGATCGATTCGTCCCATTCGATAATTGGCGTCGGTAATGAGGCCGTGGATTACTTGGTAATCTGTACGCGGCTTCTCCTACGAGAAAAAACGAGAATCGAGTCGTTAATAATATCGTTCTTCCGATTCGATGAACTTGATCTGGAAACGTGCCTCCCGATGTGTCAATTGGACGAGTCTCCTTGAACTTGTTTCCCAACCGAGGGATCAGACAGCGTTTAGACGTTGGCAAGACTGTCGGGGCACGAGTTGTCGTCCTTGTTGTATTAACATTCGACTTGAAGTTTTCGATGTTTATACGCGAATATATAATCGCATGGTTAGAGAGGTTATAACGTTTAAAAGTTTCGAAAAATATAATAGTTCCGTGAAATAACTACGCTCTATTCTTGATTGACTTCGCTGCAAATAAATAATGGTATCCTATCTAAATTGATTTATAATAATATATATATATATATGTATTAATATAATTCTTAATTTAAGTAAAAATTTCTTTGATTACCTGTAATTAATAAGTAAATAAATAATATGTAGAATTACGTATATTATTGCTATATAGAATAAGAATTTTATCATACTATAAAAAATACTTAGAAGCAAGTATATCACTGCTACGCAGAATAACCAATTGCATATCATACTGTAAAAACTTAAATTTTTTTCAGTAATATTTTACCATTTAACACTTGTTGTTATGTACATATCGTAACATGTCGTTCTTCAGGTTATACGGATAGTTCTTTAATCATTTTTTCGATATTAAAAGAGGAAAAGAATCCTGTATCAAAACATAAAATTTTTCCCACGGTTAATAATGTAAAAAACATAATCATTACTCACCATAACCTCACCGCAATATCTCGTCGTTGTCATAATTTTTCGAAATCTTGTCAGACCCGAAACTTTTAAAACGACGAATCCACGAAAAACACGTTGTACGACACCATGTTTACACGACATTACCGAGAGTATTAACGCGAAAGAGGGCGCTAAACTTAAACCCGAAACACGAAGAGTGAATTGAGTTGCGCGCCCTCGTACGACCGCCTTCGGTGGTTGTCGATTTGCTTTATGAATCGATTCCTATCGCTAATAACAGAGATCGCACTTATCCGTCGATCGCCGGTTGATCACCTTGCGTGGCCAGGTCCGCGTGAATGGCTTTAGATTCCTAATTTCGTTGCCGTGCCTCATTAAAGCGGTGCAATCTCTGCCCCGATATCGATCTCGCGAAAAATTATGTAAATAGGGCGGCTACACCGGCCGACTAACGTAAAATATGCGGAAAGAATAAATTTTTCACGCGACGGATAATTGGGACGAGAAACTATGTAAGATAAACGAGCACGGCCACGCTTGCGCTATAAAAATTCTTTCGTAGTGTCGTGTTTTACTTTCTACCGATTTGTCTTTGTCTCGTTTAATTAAGAATTTCTTTTTTTTTTTTTTTTGTTATATTTTTCGTATCGTGAAAATTCTTTTACAGTCCGATTACGCCCAACGTGCACTTTCTACCGATTTATCTTCGTCGTATGGATTTTAAACTTTTATAGGTTAGAATCTTGATATCGATCTAGATCACTTCTTCCGAATCAAAATCTTTTTATAATTCATTTTGTCCAAAATAAGACTTTTCCCCGAAATTTTCGAAAATTCACACACGGACTATCCAATTTTTTTTTTTTTTTAAGTCCAATCACTCACGGCACTTTCACGACGACCAGAGATCCGCGGCCTCTGATTCGAGCACGCTCACGATACGTATCTCCTCGCGAAATATTATGTAAATAGAGGCGCGCGTTAAACGGGGCACGATCTAGAAAAGAGGACCCGAGGGACGGTGCACGTATCCGCGAGACCGGATGCCGGTTGAATAAAAAGCGCATAAAGTAACATTTAGCGCACGCTTAAACGAAATTGCTGTAATCGTACGGTGGCGTGGCGGTCGAGGTACTGCGCGAGAGGAAGAGGCTTTGCGTAGCGAGGAGGGAGAGGTTTCAGGAGGGTGGATGCAGTGTATTAACATACCGATTTACATAATTCGAGTAATTATGAAGGGAAATATACACAATTTAATATAATGGTGGATGTTTAGGGGCCAACGCCATATCTGCCACGAGAGATCTCGCGCAACTGGACCCTCTGGTGCTGCCCTCTATCCATTCGTGTACCATTGTATACGCGATATCCGGGCATTTGTTTATTTTTTTTAACAACAGGTTTAATTTGGAATTTATGCGCACAAGAATTTGCGTATAGCCGAGGTATATATTTTATATACCAATTTGGAAAATGAACTAACTACTTAATTATCCGATGTCTGTCTTCTCGCGTATTCTATTGTCACACAGGTATATGTATTTATTTCAGAATTTATGTGTAGAAAAATTAGTTTGGAAAAGAGAATTTTTTTTATCGTTTAAATAATAAGATCGGCTCGATTAATGTATTTGATTTTAATTGAGCTTAATTATTGGCCGTTAAATTTTAATCTCATTCTCTCTTAACGTCCATCTAAAAATTTATTCACCTTTTATTTTTATTTATTACGATCTGAATAATATTACTTGATATGTAAAATATATGTTAAAATATGAGATTACAATGTATTTTTACACTTTGATAAAACTTAAATACCATTATTAAAAATCGAGCAGAGGATAAACGGCAGTGTATCGTGCCTATGCATATGCATGGACGAGTGCACGAGGCAATTCTCGACCAAGATACCGATGAACGATCCAGCTGTGGATAGTCGTTGTGTCACGTCTTATAAATTCCATCATCGGTGGGAATAGACGAGACAGTTTGGCTGAAGGAGAAAGATAGTTGCTAGTGGATCGTGTGTAGGAAGTTAGATGTCGATACGGATTCTCGTTCACATACCTTTCACATTCATTCATTTCTTCTGGTGTGGAGATACGATCGATTTTTCGATTCTTCGAGCTCTCCAATCTGCCAAGTTTTATTAATTGAACTTTTCGTTTTTCCAAGATGTGTAATCTTGTGTCGTGCTATACAATTTTATACACAACGAAATCTATCTCTATTATTTTTAAAACAACTAAGAAGAGTATAAGGAGATAAAATTTTTTCGACGACGATGCAGGACGATGCGAAATGGAAAGAGGTTAGGTACGCAACGATTCTGTCCCAAAGGGGAGGTGAATAAAATATGGGAAGGAAACCCGGATTTCTCGTACGAAAACATTAAAATTAAAATAACCTGAAATTGAGGATAGTAGTCCATCAATGTCTGGCAGGTAGCGAAGGGAGGCGCGAAAATGCCTCGTCATTAACCAGGAACAGGCCACTTTTCGGGGAAGGTAAGGTGGGTCGAAAAGGGGCAATTTGCTCGCCGTGTACGAAACTGCTCCTAAACACCTTGAAACCTTAAACGTTTTCTCGCTCTGTAGACCTACTCGTTAAACGTTCTTACCGATTCCACGCCCGGACACCGACTCGGTCATTTCTCTTCCCTTTCCAATGCGAAATTTGAATATTTCTTTTTTTTTTTCTTTAACGGTGTTTGGAAACGCACGGTTTCGAGATCGAATTACAGATCACAGGATTTACGGATCTATCTCTGTTTTAGAAATTAATTCTCTTCCTAACCTAAAAATCCAAACCTAAGTAATTTTCCACTTTTAACTCTCTAATTCGTCGATATCAAAGTTTTCTGGTTATAAAATGTCAAAATTCTGGAATTTCCATATTTTCCCCAAAAGATTCGAAGCTTGACAAAACTCCTTCGAGTGGATCGATATTTTTAATTCTCTCTCTCTCTCTCTCTCTCTCTCTACGTGTACGTTGAAAATTGATCAAGCCCCGGTAAAACTCCGGTTAATTTTTCCTGGTCAAATTGAATTGAAACCCTCCTCCATCTCGCGCACGAAAACTTTCCTCGTCGAATCGTGGCAGGCGAAAGTGCATGGGGACCCCACGCGAGGCACTAACGAGATAGTCGGTGTTTATCGGCCGACCCGTGGTCCAGGCCACGTTTATACGCCGGTCTCACTCCAATTAGCGCTACAGCCGGGGCTAATTGCTCGATATAAATCGCCGCGAGTTAAAAAAGCCGGCCGAATAATTAGACGGAAGGAAGGGCGGCCGCAGGTGCGCGTCTCCTTCGAGGAGATGCTCGGGCGCATTACCAGCTGGTAGCAGCTCGAGAGTTCGGAGGAGACGCGTCACGTGATGCGCGCGCATAATGAGAGGAGAGGCAGGGCTGCCAACTTGCTCTCGGTCAATCTTCGCGTGGAGATTTTTAATTATTAATTATCGATGCTTGGTAAAATTAATGCTTGGGGTTAGTGAGAGTTAATTTAAGGGAGAGAATTAAGTAAGTTTGGAAAAAATGAGATAGCTGTGTATGGAGAAGAATAGAAAAAATTGATTGCAACGAATATGTTTGAAAATATGCAAAAGAGTCGAGTCGAAAATTGGAGAGGTGGCAGTGTTGGGGAGAAGCCCAAGTTCGTCGTCCCCTTTCCTCCGGCATGTGTGTGCATACGACGAACCGATTACACCGTTTCATGCTAATAGAGCCTATTAGAGGGGTCCGCTGTTCGCATGACAATCCACGAGTCGTGTAATCTAAATGTCAATCTCGATAGAGAAAGGTCGTTATCACGACTTTTCCATCGATCGTGTAACTCGGAACTCGGTGAACGGGATACTTTCGATCGAGATCGAGATCGAGCGACTTTGTTTTCGATGTAATTTTGCCCGGATAAATATCGACTTCCTTCGAATTAATCGTCTTTCCTCGCAATTGTTCCAATACAACTTTACGACTTCTCTTTCTTTTTCTTCTTCTTCTTCTTCTCGATTGTATTTCAACAAAAGAATCTCTTTCCCTTTCTTTTAATTACTTCTCACGATCGACAAAAAAATTCTTCGTATTATCGTATTAACGAGGTGAAATTTCGAATGAAAAAATTCGATATGAACGAAAAAAATCATGGATCATTCGAAACGATCGATCTCGAGATTGCCGACAATTATAAAACTGCTGTCGAGAGCCACCGCCACCGCGAACACGTGTCTGCCCGCTACGCCAACCCCCGACGGTTTCCTCGACGTGGCACACGCACGTACGCACCCGTGCAAACACTCGCGTACACGCCTCGCAACTTCTGAATAATTTGACATGTTGTCGTACACGTTATTATTCAGATAGACGTCGAGATATAACCGCCTCCTTCAAATCCAGTTCTCTCCTCGAGAACTTCGTTCGAGAGAGCTCGAGTTAAATCCCCTCCTCTCTCTCTCTCTCTCTCTCTCTCTACGAGAAGTAATACGAAA